ATTTTTAATAGACATTTATATATATATATATATATATTATAATTAAGCCATTATCAAATAAGGTTATGTTTATATATTAATATACTTAACAATATATAAAGTCTCAACATCCAACAACCCTAAAACACCACAGCTTCCAACTGATCAATGTTCCATATAATAATACATATAAAACTCTATTACACATCTTCTTACAAAACATACCAAATATATTTCCTTCTCATAGTTCAGAATGCCATCACAACTACTATAGTTGCAGCAACCTCCCCATCACCTGCAAATAAAATAAAATAAAATAAAATAAATAAATATATAAAAAAACAAAGTATATGTGACTCTAGAATCAAGTCATATGTAATATGTGTAATGTATGTATGCATAGATTGTATTATTTATAAAAATAAAATATTTATGAAAGTGTACCCAAGTTGCAGAGCTGTTTGCTGCTGGTGGGAATAACGGTCATTGGGATCCATTAGATTGACATGAAGAAAGCTTCTGGAATCAAATGGAGGCATCACTTCATACTCTGTGCTTGTTGATGGCAATATGCTCATATGCTGATGCTGCTGCTGTGCTCTTTCATTATCAGATATCTGTAAAATCCACTATTTTGTTTGGATAAAAATACTTCTTTTGCATAAATTTGACATTAAACTGTCAACATAGTCCCCGGCTATTTTCATAATGATGCAATTTAGTCTTATAATTTTCTAATGGTGCTGAAATAATCCTCCCTTTAAAGAGAGAGTGGACTATTTCAACTCGTTAATAAATTTTAGGGACTAAATTGACATTTTAATAGATTTTATGGATGTGTTTGGGGTAGTGGTGTAGTAAGGATGTGGTGCCGAATCACACTTTTTTGTTCTTGGCGCAAAGCACAGTATTGTTTGCTTTTTCAGAAAATTATAACTGAAAGCTGCGTGTTTACAACCAACTAGTTAAGTGCCGTGACCGTTAGAAAACTACGATATGACCTTTTGAAGAAAAAAACTATAATAAACATCACAGTTTTCTGAAAAACAACATCTTCTGCAACAACTTCGCAGTTGCTTCTTCAAAACACTACAGCTGCCCCAAACAGACCCATATAACTAACCTTTTTTTTTACTTTTCTTTTTTCTATAGTATTTATAAGCTAACATAATATGATTATAGTCTAATTAATTATAATTTTCTTGGAGCAAAAAATATTCTCTTATCTTTTTAATTATATAATGATCACTACATAGAAACTTAAAACATTTAGGCATGCCTTATTGCGCAGAAACATGTTGTCAGTTTGGAGTTCCATTTCCTGCAAAATTAATCTGAATGAGTTAAGAAAAAATTCTCTATTAAATTTCACTTTCAGTTCTTGTTCTTACCCTTTTCTGCATGTAGTCAATCTCAGCATGCAGCAGTTCATTCTGATGGAGTAAAACGCAATAATATTACAAATTTAATATAAAAATTAAATAAATATAATTAGTCTGTAGAATGAAATTAAAAAATTGTTGAAATTTATAAAAAATTAAACCTTCTTAGCTCTTATTTTGTTGATGCCTTTCTCCAATCTTGTTTCCAGTTGCTTCAGGTCCCTCAGGCTCATGGTGGTGAGAGCATCACCCAGCAAATTCCTAATTACATGCAATTATAATTTTATAAAAAATGCAAATTAAATTTAAAAAAAAATTATAAAAAGAGGATGATTGATCATTTATCTGTAACACCTGTTGGAATTCTGTAAGTTTGTAATTTGCTGACGCAGTTTTGTGGCCTCTTGTTGGTAATACTTGTTCAGAAACAGAGAAATGTTGTCAGAGAGATCATCAAATTAATTAATATGTAAAATTTGATCAAATTCTGCAAAATAGGAAAGTCACTGTATTTACATATCTAACAGCTAAACGTTAAGTTTTACATGTATGCCGTCTTAGTTCTAAGAAAATTAATAGGAAGACTTGCATACAATAAAACTTATTAATTCCCATCTATTTACATATATGGGATCTTAAACCTCAATTGTCTACATATATGCCATCTTATACACGTATAGACTAGGGGTGTAAACAAGCCGAACACGAGCGAGCCCAGGCTCAGCTCGTGCTCGACTCGTTTATATTTCGAGCTCAAAAAGTGTGTTCGTGTTCGGCTCGTTTGCTTAGCGAGCCGAACACGAGCAGTTCACGAACAAAAAGTCATTTTGACAACACTAATCACGTAATCATAAGATGTTAAGGATTGAGGTTATTCTATTTTCGTAATTAAAACTTTCAATTGATTATAAATCTTTGTAGCCTTGTAGTCAATTAATTTTTTAAAAATACTACTCATCATAATATATATATATATATATATAATTGAATATCAAACGAGCCTAACACGAGCTTTTTAAAGAGTCGAATACGAGTTGTTCGTGAATAACGAGCCGTTTTGACAGCCCTAGTATAGACACACACATGGAATAAGTTGCATTTTGCATATAAAGACAACTTACCTGCGAATTTGCTTCAGATATTGATCCAGTGTTGGAATTATCAGTGCTTGCCTTTTTGTATCGTTCAATGGTTCCTTTCACGCTTCACAAAAACAGAAAATTATCTACTCAGAATTCACTAGTATTTTGAAGGAATTCTTTCACAATATCTAAGTTATTTTGTGACAGTTTCACCCCTCTCTCTCTCTCTCTCTGTATATATATATATACTTGTCAATATTATATATACATATATGTATTTATATGTATATACGTACATATATTTATATATATGTCTGTATCTATATATATATATATATATGTGTGTGTGTGTATACAGACATACATATAGAATTTTTTATTTTTTTTTAAATTTGAATTATTTATAAGAGCTCAAAGTTAATAGTACGAGCTCTTCAAGATTGTTACATTAATATAAGATCTTCAAAATGTTTTAACATCCCACTAAATGATTAGTTAAAGATCTGCATAAAAAAAGAGAGAAATCTACAAACATAGCATGCAATTCTTATGGATTTACATATTTCACACCTAAACTTTCATATTTACAAGCATAGCACTTTATCTATGCATGAAAATATTTACCTATGCATGAAAATATGGAAATCAGTGTTATTTTTGATGTGATATGAAAGAATTGAGTGATTTGTGTATAATTATGAAAGTTTTGGTTTGAGATACGTAAAAATTAATCTATGAGAATGGAGTGTTACGTAAGAGAATTTTATCAAGAGGAAAATTGTATATAACTACCTCCAAAATCAAGATAAACTATTCCATGTATCTAACTATGGCTAGTTTGTATATCTCTCTATATATATGATATCTCTAAATACAAAAGAAATGGGTGGTATGTATGTTAATGCCCTTTTACTTTTATATGTGTGTGGCAACACATATATGCATATATATATATATACATATACATAGGGGCAAACTTTGGTTATCCTGGTCCTCTCTAAAATATCAGTTTTGCCCCTTCTTACTTTGCCCTTGGTTATCATAGTCCTCTCAAAAAAGAGGCTGGTTCCGCCTCTGCATGTGCATGTGTGTGTATACATTTGTATGTGTTAGCTTTGTAAATACTTGAAATTTTGGGTGCATGGTATGTATGTAAATGCCCCTTTACTTTTGTTTGTATGTGTGGTGTGCATGTGTGTTCATATATTTGCTAGATTTGTAAATATGTAAGAATTGGGTGGTAAGATGTAAATGTCTTATGTGCGTGTGTGCGTGTGTGTGTAATTATGTTTATATATGTACATCTGTGTGTGTGTGTGTGCGCGCGCGCGCGTGTGCGTTTGTGTGTGCGTATGTATACATATGAAAGTTGAACGCTTAAATTAAAAATAATTATATATTAAAATTTATAGTAGGTTCAAAATAAGAGTAACAAAGTTATGGATCATTGCTTATAAGATCTTGCTTGAGAGCTTAATCGGAATGTTACTTCATGACTAAAATTTGTTATGAATGGTTGAGGATTTCGCATGAGTTCCTAGTCAGAAGGGAAGAAAAGATAAATTTTAGTGTTTGTGTTAGAGAAAACACCAACTCAGATGGTAAGATTAGCTACTACGATATTCTTCAAGAATTAATGCAGCTATGATATCCAGGTTGTGTTGAGTATAATGTATTGCTCTTCGACTCTGAGTGGTTTGATCATATTCTTAATCAATAAATAAGACCACTAAACCCATATGATATCACTAAAATTAAAATAAACATAAGATATGTGAAGTTTAATCTATTGTTCTAACATGTCAAGCTAATCATATATATTATATTTGATACCTTGGTAGAGCAAGGGAAAAAAAATTGATTAGACTATGATTATAAAGACTAAACCTAGAAAGACTATTGAGGTACAAAACATTATTAAACATGTTCATTAACTGCATGAAAAGTCATATTTTCATATTCAACTTAATTCTACTTAGCAATGGATTACCATGGAGAATGTCACTAGGGCATATGAAGAGGTTACTAAATTTATGGATGAGTATAATGATGATATTTTAAGATCATCATCGACAAACTCGTTTGATAAGACATAATAAGATTGGTATATACTTTTAAATTTTAGTTTCTTGCTACTTTTATCTCTTGTAGTGTTAGGTTCTATTATTCACATTATCTGTTCTATTCATTCTTGCTTTTACTTTTGGTACATTTATTTTCGGTGTGACGTACTCTGTACTTAGTTACAATATTTTTGTAATAATTTCACCTATATATGTTTTTACTTTTTGCAATTTACTTATGGTGTATCAGACTTGTACTTCTATCATGTCGTTCTTTCACTTATTTAATGCTACACTTATGTATATTCTTTCATGTTTATCATTATTTTGATCAATTTATTTCTTCTTGTTGCTGATGACTTCAAGTCGGACTAGAGAGCGGCTTCTCAATGGCAGGTTCGAACTAGCATTCCATATCAGATGATGAAACATATCATTTCATGCTCTTCCTCCCACACTAATAGTGATATGATCGTTAACACTACCACTTCGCCATCGGTGCCCATGAAGCCTACAGGTTTTGTCAAGCCTGTTTCTCTGGTCAGCCCCTCTTCTCCGTTCCGGCCTCCCGCTCCTACCATGCAACTGCTCCCACATCTTCGGCTCTGAGCACATAAGCCCTCCTCTGATGAGCCAGGCTCCTCCGCTCTAGTCCCTTTTAGGTAAGACACATTCAGACGGTTATACATTGAGTTAGAGGGAGACTCATGAGTAACACAAAGTTATAATAATTTGAATTAGTTTTTACTATATTGTATAAAGAATATTTGTATTTTAGGTTCTATCTCTCTAGGCAACCCGTCGTTCGTATCAAAAAGATCTTCAGGAATATATATGATACCCGTATCTCTCGCAGAGGAAGATCCCAATCGATGTTCGAGATATGTGGCTTAAGAAGTTTGAGGTAAATTTTACTAATTTAAATTATAACTATAATTTTAAGTTATTTTATTTTACTAATAAATATTGCTTAATATTTATTTTGTATAGGTCATTCTACTGGCTTCTTGAGCATCATCAACATATCTGACAAAATTTTGAGGACCAAGGCTGACATCAGTTGAGTGATATGTTTACTTTGATCCGTAAGAAGAGGGAGCAGTTTATCTAGATAGGCAATGAGGTATGGGCAAAGTTGATATGAGAGCATGAGCCACTCCATATTATCAAATCATAAGAGGGGGATGACCTAAGAAAGCATAAGATCTGAGGGAGCGGGTGTACCACATTATACATTGTAGGCTTGGTCCAACATGCTGAGCACCAGAGGAAGTTGTTAAATTTTCATTCAATACACAAAAATTCATTAATGTAATAATGTGATGCTTACTCATTTTACATGTTAATATAGTAAGGAGATTGGATGGAAGAACAACACTGTTGATTTGCATACTTGAACACATCGATAAGCTGCAGTGGGTCTTCAACATGTACGTCTCGATCGCTATGTCCATATAAGTAAAATAAATTTTATTTTTATAATTTACTTACAATTTTAAATTAAAATTTTTAATTATTCTTTGATTTAATTCTATAGGAGGAAGGCCCTGAGCTAGAGCTCGACAGGTGTTGGCAGTAGTAGTAGCCAGTCACTGCCTGAGCAGTCTGACTATGAAATTTGGAGGGAGCTTTCGGGAAGAATGGGAAGATCTATGGCTTGAACTCTCAAGAATTTGTATGTGAGGCTGAGCTTTCCCATCTTGTTCAGAGTGTGAGGTCATCGAGTGATGATGAACTTACCAGATGAGTAGCCACATTATCTGAGTTCTATGCCACGTATGAGAGAGTTGAGAGGCCCAAGGCCAACATTGCATGGTTGGAGCAAGTAGTAGATCACTATGGCAAGTAATCTCAACTAATTAATGTTATGGAGGAAAAGGAAGAAATAACAATGATTACCACTATGAGTTTTATATTTTCTCTTTTATTTTATATTTGGAAGTGACAATCTGATGATGCACCATAGGGGTTATATATATTATATTTGGATTTGAAATTAAATAAATATGTATTTCATTTACATTTTAGGAAGTTATGTATAAGATGAATGATTCATTAGATTTTCATTGTTTCGTATGATGATTCCATTCATCATCAATGTTGTTATATGTTTGTAAAATCTATTGTGAGCTACGGTTGATGTTGCTATTGAATACAAGTGTAAGAAAATTGATTGGTTACATCTCTATCTATATATCTATCTATCAAGTTTTTTTTGCGGTGGATTTTCTGACTCACTAGTCGGAATTCAAACTCTAATATGTGACCTTTGAATTATGTCGCAAGCTTTTCTACGGAAGAACATGTCGCTAATATTACGTTTGATCCTTACCGTCACAAGCATAAAAATTGGCAAAAAGGTCAATCGCAAAGCCATCACAAACATTAGCGACATCATTTGTCAACAATAATAGTTTTGTGACCCATTTTTAGCATCAAAATGTTTTTTTGCCGTAAATTAGCAATTAAGAGGGTTTAGCATCGGAAATGGGCATTATTATCGGCTTAATTTTCCGCCGCTAACCGCTATTTTTTTGGTTTTGTAAGGAACTATTAGAGCCAACATATAATCTCAAATCAAAACCAAACATTTTACACAAAAAGTTGTTGACATCTAGATATAAATTTATCATTTTTTATATTTTTAAATTTCTAAAAAGTATGAATATTTCCCTTATATTTTATAAGTTGGTACAAAATTACTCAAAGATTTTAAGAAGAGCCACTAGGGGGGGACAAACCCTTGAAACAAAAGCTAAATAAAAATGCATGCTTAATGTATCTTAAGAAATGAGAAATATTATAAGAAAAAAAGATAGAATCCATGATTCTATGGTTAAAAGTTGTTCTGAGAACTAGTAGGCATAGGCTCAATTCAACATATATATAAAATTTCCTATATTTTTTTAAGAAAAACTAGAGCACAATTTCATTAAAGGTGAGGAGAACATAAGTTCATATTCATGTTGCATTTCTTACAAGGAGTCGGCACATAATTAATTTAGATATAATTACATGATAAATTTGAAACTATAACCTCTATCTTGAAACTAAGAAGCATATCACTTTAGTTAAACATGTAAAACTTCTTTTTTGTGTCTAAAATGCATAAAGAAAACGTAAATATTTTATTATTTATAATGGACAATCATTTAATGTCAAATTTACTTATATTGCATAGTTTTTTCAATTATACAGTTCATTTCTTTTTGCTAAGTTTTTCTTCAAGAATGCCGCTAAATTCTCTTCGGACACGTGGTCACCATGATGTCAGCTTTAGTCTCCATAGCTACCACTACCTCTCATGTACCTCACCTCTCATAATCTCTCTTTCTTAACTGACTGTTTAACTTTACATCCTTGTCGAGCAGCTGGTGCACCGAAGCCATCATGCTCCCTCTCTTCTCGTTTCCATTTAGCCCTACTATTTCTTTGTTTAAGTGCTATGCTATTGACCCATCTCTTCATCGAGATTTCTACCACTTATTGCTTTCATGTGGCTTATAACATGCATCATTGTTATATATTTTTATAGTCCATATTTAATGTTGTGCTCCTTACTAGTCTCTTTGATCGAGGTACCATTTCTTTACGCATCTCATGCCTTTTTACATGTGTGTGTAGGTGTTCTCCACTTTCTAGTTATCACATTTCCTCTCTAAAGTGCATTTTAGTTTAGACCTTATTTAGTCCTATCATCATTAGAGATATGTTTCTAGTTTTGCTACTAGTTTCCTATTGTAGGCTCTTACTCCTCTTATAGTTCTTTTTTTCCTTTTTATTATATCTCTTATAGTTGGTGGTACTTTTGATGATATTTTTTGTAGATTTGATTCAAGCAGTGCATATTCATTCTTTTCCTCTCCTAACCTTCAAACTTGCTCTCTCTTCATCTTACTTTTTTACCTGGATCATTATTTGGTAACCCTTTACACATTAATTCTCCTATTGTCCACGTCTCAAAAAAAAAAAAAATAATGACTAAAGTCTTTGGGAAGATTGATATGAAATGTACCTTTTATGCCATTTGATTGGTTCTCAAATAAACAGATATTGATAAAAAATTATTTTTGAATGGAGGTCATGTTTTTATTCATATTATCATTTGCTTGAGCCTGATCTCCAGGCTTGGAAAAACATGGTAAAGGGAATGTCCTCCACTAGTAAGCTAAGTTAAAAATAGTAATCCAAAAAAAATTTCTTTACTGCTCAATTTGGATGCCACTCTGATCCCCATGTACTACTTAAAGCTAATGCTCTTATTCCCTCCTCCGTAATGACCTATAAACCTTCACCAAGTCCCAAAAAATAAAGAGCTTATTTTTTAGGCAATCAATAGAACTCATCAATAAACCCTAATAAGATAATCAACCTAAAAAATTGAGCTTAGTTGAGTTATCAATAGTAGTTATCTCTAACCATCGTAATGTTACTTCTCTTATAAATAAATTCACTTTTGAAGTTATTTTTTCTTTTTTCTTAAGGACATTGGCTTTAACTTTTGCTTAGCTCAATTTGTTTTGGTCCTCCTATAAGAGATATACAAATAGTTTATTTATCTTAAAATTATATAATTTTTTAAATTACACAAATATTTTTTTTTAAAAGTGTAATTTAAAATTTCTTTAATACTAATTACTATGGCTTATTTGATAATAATTTTGTAAGCAAGCTAGTGATAAACTATTTTTGCTATATAAAAAATTATCTTAATTTATTAGAATTAAATGAAAATATGGCACGGAATAGGGAAGAATGTGGAAAAAGGATTCATGTAGCCGACCCCACTTGGTGGGATAAAGGCTTGTTGTTGTTGTTGTATGTTAGCTCATGAAGAGACAATACTTAAACATCAAAATATATATATATATATATATATATGCGCTCTTACACACACTAGTCTTCTAAGTACATGATCAAATAGAATTTTAAAAAACTTCATGCATACATCATTCAAATGGAATTAGGAACTATTTCTTGCTTGATGCTGACATTTCAACAACAATTTTTTGCCTTTCTAAATTAATTTTTCTTTTCTATCATGCTTAGCACTTGTACTTCGTCTCTGTAAAATTCTTCATTTTTTCTTCAATTAATGTTTTATGCATTCGAGCACAAAATAATTGTACGCTGAATTAAATATTTTTATGTTCTTTTATGAATTAATTTTTACTAAAATTAATGTTCTAATCGTACCTTTTCTAAGTTCCTTAAGCATACTTCATTTACTTCACAGATTTCTGAAATTTCTCTTCTCAAACAAGCAAAAAAACCTCTAAGAAAACTACAAGAATGAATAATATGTCTTTAAATAGCCATTCGACACTTTAACAACTTAATTTTTCAGCTATGTTTGCTGATATCCGACATATAATAAATTAAACGCATCACATCAAATTCTGAAACAAAGATCAAACTAGTTTCAGCACTCTGTCTCATCTTCTCCACAAGCTCAAATCGAAAGAGAAAATTAAAAAAAACAAAAAGTTTAGGATTCTCAACTTTCTCACTGCAAATAGAATATTTTGCCTCTCTCATTTCCTTAAGATTTTGCTTGTTTTTTCAACAAATTATCATCAATTGAATCATATCATTCCCATCAAAACATTATTCTTCCATTGTCCTCAAATCTCTGACAAGACAAATCATTCATTCATTCATCTATATATA